AGATTTGAAAAAGATCACTAGAAGAGAAAATAACTGCTATAACTGATTCAAAACTGTTTCTAATAACTAAAAGTAGTCCTCTAAGTATAAATAAGGGTTTAAACAATTATAAATGTTAAAAAAAAAAACATCCATGAGCAAGATTAAAACTATGAACTTTCTAAAAGTTATATTTTCAAGTGCGCTTCACTCTTATCTTTGGAAAAGAGATTTAAGCTTAACTTTATACATCTTAGATAAGTTAGATGATCAATTATACTTTATCTTCTCTTTATTCTTTGTTTACTTAAAGTGTAAGAAACACTCCAAAGGGTAAACTAAGATTGGGAAAGCTTAGGGAATCTTGTAAAGGTTTTGAGCTTGGGTTAGAAGTTCACCTTGTAAAATACTTAGTAGAAGCTATTAATTCCATTGGTTTAGAGAAGTTGGATTGAAACTCCTTGATTAAGAGATCAAGGTAGTGGACGTAGGTCAAAAGAATCAAACCACTATAAATATTTGTGTTTTATCTACTTCTCTTTACTTTCTCTTTACTTGATACCTTTTAACCTCAACAATTTTTAAACCTTCCATTTCAAAATCATTCAAAAGTTTTTTTAAGCAAAAAAAAATTTACTTCAAAATTTTTTTATACTATTCACCCTCCTCTAGCACTCTATTGAGATCAACAAGTGGTATTAGAGCCTAACTCTTGATTTTAAAGCTTAACATCTAAGGAGAAGATCCAATGGCTGCTCAAAATTCTAATGTTATTGAGGATCAATCCATAAACAAACCTCTTATATTTGATGGAACCAATTAGCAATATTCAAATACTAGGATATCCATTTATGTTAGAGTTTGTGACTATAAGATGTGGGATGTCTTACCAAAGGCCCTTTGATTTCTATGAACACTAATTTGATTACTGGTGAGAAAACTCTCAAAAATAAAGATGAATGGATATAAGCTGAATTGAGGAAAGTTTAAATAAACTTCAAAGCCATCAACAGTCTCCATTGTGTATTGAGTCTTACAAAGTTCAACAAAATTTTTGCATGCACCATAGCCAGGGAAATTTGGAAAAAACTAAAGATCATCCATGAAGGGACTTCACTGGTCATAGAGCCCAAGATCACCCTTCTCGCTCATAACTATGAAATGTTCAAAATTGAACAGAGAGAAAACATCACCATTGTGAAATCCCACCTTAATGAAAATGCTAAGTTAAGAAAATCTTAGGTGAGCATGTTGATTGTATGTTTTGAACATTCAAAACTATATTTTAAACTTGGAAAAAATTCATGTTTTGCTGGTCAAAGATGATTTATAAAGTTTGATATTAAAAGGAGTCCAATTAGACAAGTCTCTAATGTTTATTTTTGCTTACTAAAGCTTATCTATCGATATATGTTCTTCATCTATTGATAGATGCAATTCAAAATGGCTTTCTCAAAGCTGCCCTGAAGAACATCTATGAATAGATGACTAGATCTATCTATAGATAGTTAGATTTATCGATAGATGGCCCCCATGTATTGATAGATAACAACCAAAAAGCTTTTAAAAGGACTCTGAAGCCTATCTATTAACAAATAGCATCAATCTATCAATAGATGATGTCATTTTCACAAAAATAAAAAGTATAAAAGTGTATTTTCACACCCCATACTATAAATGTCACGTTTTTCAAGGGTTAGCAATCCTCAGCTACATTTTGCAAGGTAAGACTCAACCCAAAACCCTTTTAACTCATTTTGAGCAAAAATCTTTGTTTTTGATGATTTTAAGTTTGTTTATGGGTTTTTAAGAAACAAAATGGTATTTTTATGCTTTATAATCTTTAAAGCTTAGATTTTCAAATCTAAAATATTTGTTTTAATGCCCAGATATTTTTGTTTAGTGATAAAGCTCTAGGATTTGTGGTTTTTCTAATCATCTAAGCTCACCTAAGGTAAGAGTAATGGATTTATGGGTTCTAACATGGATTTTAACTAGGACCTAGTCTTAGTCAAAAGCGATTAACTTTAGAAAGTGCCTAGAATGAATATTATGAGATTTTTATTCTAGGAAATGATTGTGATAATTGTTGTATGATAGAAACACTTGCAAACTCAATAGATTTTGCCGAAACGGAGTCGTGATTAGAGCTAGAAATTGAATCTCCAATTAAGTGAGTGGATACTCCTTTTCAAGTATTTTAATATGTAAAGCTAGCATGATTTATGTAGAAATAATTATTTGTGCATGATGAAATATTGTTTCCATTAATGGTTTATAAAGAATTTAATGTTCAAGGTTTTCCAATGATTTTCAATGAGTATGAAATGGATTTAAAATTATTTGTGATGTGAGAAGACAATGATTTTCAAATTGTTTATGAATCTACTATATATGTAAATATATTACTATGTATTAGTTTTTAACAAGGAGGACAAACCCCCTTTATGTTTGTATTCTACTCGATTACTTCGGCTTTCGGGCTAGTGTGGTATGAGATATTATCCATGTTAATGTATGAATGTTATGATTGTTGTTGAATTTTCTCCATGCAAGTGTATGTATTGCAACAAGTAATATAGAAGTAAGTAGAGCATCCAATTCCACAACGAATTGCACCAACATAAGACTAAAATTGTGGCAAACTAATTTTACCCAAGTAATCAAAATTGAAGCAACAAGTATCGATATATAAGGAGTAGAAAGATCAATTCCTTGAAAACATAACGTCTCAAAGCAAGAAAAACAACTTCTCATATGGTTACTAATCAATTCTTATGGCACGATTAGCATGATTCGAGTGGACCCAAGAATTCAAAAAATGGCCCTATCTTTGCTCTAATGGGAAGAAAATTGAGAGAGGCTAGATGTACCCTTCAAAAAGCCTTATTCAACGAAGAGAGAAGAGCATTAACAAGAAAAGAGAGCAAAAATTCATTTCGAGAGGAGAACAAAGCTTTCATTCTCAAAATTCATCTTTTTCTCACTCTACAATGAATTCTCAAAATAGAGTATCCTTGTTTGAGCCTAAATTTCTTTATTCAGTTGCATTCTCTTGTACCTAAACTCAATTGATCAACCTATCTAGAGGCATCAAATCTTGTAATTCACAATAGAAAGGTTATACCTCCTTAAAAAGTTAGAAAGGTTATACTTAAGCCTTGAAAATGTAGGATTGGTTATACCTCCATTGAAAAGGTAGAAAGGTTGTGCTTTAATCTTAAAAAGGTGGTGACTTGTTGAAAAGTTGTGCTTGATCCTTAAAAGTTAGTTGCTTATAAAGGTTATACTTGAACCTAGTTGAAAAAGTCAATTGATAGTAGATTCAAACTCCTTGTGATATCAAGGGAGAGGGCATAGGCATTGGAAGGTCAAACCTCTATAAATATCATGGCTGAGTCTTTTATCTCATCTTTTTACACTGTACCTGTTGTATAACTTGCTTGTTTACGTTTATATTGATTGTTCTTCAAATTTTGTGCATAAAGTTTTAATCTTTAACTATGTTTCAAAGAAAGCTAAAATTTTTATTTAAAAACCAATTCACCCCTACTTGGTTGCTATATCCTAAGCTTCTTTATCTAATAGTAACCTTACCTTGACGAACTTTGGTGATAAGAAAGCCACAAAACCCTTAAGCTTAGAGTTTAATGAAAAATATGGAGAAACAAATAATATTTTTCAGTGCTGGAAATCAAAGATTTAAAAGCATAAAGAGTTGAAAAATGTCACCTTGTTTGAAATCCAAACGAAGTTTCAAATCTTCAAAATTAGGGTTTTGTAGAGGAAAAAGGGAAAAAGAGGGTTGAAAGTTGAAAGTTGAAAGTTGAAAGAAAATCACAAATTGTGGCTAAGGGTTGAAACCCTCGAAGTTTGTGCCATATTTATAATGGTTAGTGAGAAAATACCATTTTATCTTTTTTTTTTCAAATTTGTGCAAGAAGTATCAATACTTTTGAAAATAATTATGTGTTTTGGGGTTTTTTGACTCAAGTCTTAAGACGTCTTGTGGAAGTCATTATACTTATGTTTCTAAGTAGCAAGTCTTGAAACCCATGAATGAAGTCTCGAGACTTCCTTCTTCCCCAAGCATCAAGTCTCGATACTTCGGAGCCATAATGCTATTTTTGAGTCCAAAACAAAACTTTTAACCCTCTAATGGTCCAACCTTTCAAATGAACTTATTTGGTTATCAAAATTTGCATTTTATAAGTTATAATGGTTCACCAATCATGTTCAAAACTGTCAAATTACCAACTCACCAAGTTAAGTCACAATTCTCCAATTAAGTATAATTGGAGTTTCATAGTTATACTCAAGCAATTCGGCCTTCTTACAATTTTTTTTTTTTAGAATAAGTAGAGATAAGAAGGAAAGGAAACAAATAGAGAAATAACTTCTTTTTAAATTTTTTTTGTAAGTGATAAGTTTATACCCTTATTTTCTTAGATGTTGATTAAAGTTTGAAGTATTTAGTCAAATATATTTTTAAAAGTTAAAAGAACATGATGGTTATGGTGAAAAGTTGAAAAGAGTTTCTTTAAGTGTGAAGGTTTGCATGACCCTGTTGCAGTGAGATATGTGAGATATACCGGAGAGGAGCCAAAGCTTGAGAAAGAGAGAAATGGATAAGGCAAGGCCGAAAGGGGACCGCCAAAAGGGACTACTCAGAACAGGTATAATGCGGCAGGGGGAAGACACAGCAACAAATAGGGTTTCTTTCAAATTCCTAGCAAGAAGGAAAAGGATTGACAGAAATAAATAGATGGGATCAACGACTCATTCTCATCCATGGCATTTGGGACCCACAAGAAATCCCTGGATTAGAGAGGCAGCCAATGAGAAGAGAGAGATCAAGATGAACTTTACAGTGTCAACCAATAAAAATCCAGATAAGGCCCTGTTGTGGACCCAAAAGCGCAATTGTTCACTGTCGAGAGGGCCCAAAAGTGCATCGAAAGGCTGTTAAAAATGCTGAAAAAGAGCGGTTTGTGGGTCACATACCCCACCATATACAAAATAATTATAACATTTCCAAGAGGTTCTGAAAACAAAGCGCAATTCTACATTTCCCGTTGCCCTTTGGGTTTCTTTCGTTTTACTCTGATTTTATTTTTTAGATTAATTTCTAATTAAGCTTGACAACTTTTTTTTTTTTGGTTAGAACCCCAAGTATTTGTTTAATTTGAATCAGTCCGGACAATAGCTCCATGATTTCTACAAAAAATGTGGCCAACGCCGTTGGTGGCAAAACGGCAAGAGCTTGTGATAGCTGTATAAAGAAACGGGCTCGTTGGTACTGTGCTGCTGATGATGCTTTTCTTTGCCAAGCCTGTGATTCTTCTGTTCACTCGGCTAACTCACTTGCTCGTAGACATGAAAGGGTTCGATTGAAAACTGCTTCTGTTCAGTCCTCTGGTCATGAAGCTCCTTTGGAGAGCTTTGCACCATCTTGGCATAAAGGGTTTACCAGAAAGGCAAGGACGAGGCGACCCACAAAGGCTTCTATTCATCAAAAGCTAAAAGCTAAGCATACGAAAAGGAACAGCAACCCCTTTCCTCTCGTTCCTGAAATTGGTGCTGATGAGATATCGTATGAAGAGAATGAAGAGGAGCAGCTTCTTTATAGGGTACCAATATTTGATCCCCTTGTTGCTGAACTATGCACTTCTACTACGTCAAATGAAGCTGCTGTGAGTGCTGTAGGAAACGACGTTGAAACAGCTGATGCTGCTGTTAGCGAATCTAAAGCTTTCCTGGCTTGTAATGGACAAGATGCTGATGGTTCACATGGGCTTTTCCCGTCTGAGATGGATCTTGCAGAGTTTGCAGCTGATGTTGAGAGTTTGCTTGGTAAGGGTCTTGAAAATGAGTCCTTTGGCATGGAGGACCTGGGGCTAATGGACTCTAAAGAGAAGGACTTCAGGGACTGTTCCTTAGGAAACGGTAAAGTGAAGATTGAAGATGAAGAGAGTTTTGAAGCTGTTGGGGCGTGCCAGGTCGATTCTGAAATCGATATGGCGAGGGAACCCCTCGAATTGAATTTTAACTGTGATTCTCCATGCAACTGTGGAGAGGAAGATAAGTCGGTAAAGGAAGAGGTAACTGTGAAGAGTTATGAGGAATACGAGGAGGATACTGCAAAAAAGAAGAAGAGGAAGATACTTTTGAGCCTGGATTATGAATCGGTAATCACTGCCTGGGCAAGCCAAGGATCTCCATGGACTTCTGGTGGCCGCCCAGATTTTGACCCAGATGAATGCTGGCCTGATTGCATGGTAGGTTACTACTTCATGTTCCCATATATGTGTTGTGCCTCCTGCAGAAAGGCTTACTGCATAGTTTAGGACAAAAAGGACACAAAAGAAACCAAAAGGACTTATACTTAATTACTCGAAACAACATTACTGCATCATACTAAGTTGCTTTATTTTTCTTGTTTTCAAACATCGACAACTTTCTAGGCGTCAAGCTATTGTTGATACAAGATTTTGTTTTTCCAGGGCACTGGTGGAACAGAAGTTCACCACACCTATAGTGATTTGACTGGAATGGGAGCCCACCAGGCATTGGGAGATGGAGGAAGAGAAGCAAGAGTATCAAGGTATAGAGAGAAGAGGAGAACAAGGTTGTTCTCGAAGAAAATAAGGTACGAGGTTCGCAAACTGAATGCGGAGAAGAGGCCCGAATGAAAGGGAGGTTCGTCAAGAGGGCATCCTTTCTTGCAGGACCTGCTTTTCCTTTGGTCAGCAAATAGCTGTTTGAACAATTTGTTAGTACTAATCACCACTGAACTGATGTGAATAACTGGCTAGTATTTAGGCCTTCAATGTTCTATACTCTCCAAATAATTAACAAATAAAAGGCCATTTTCTTTGTTTTCTCCCACATTCTCTATCTTTCTTCCTGAAATCTGAATTCTGAAGAAGAATTGGGGGAATTAGAAAAAAAAGAAAAAAGTGGAGCCGTAGCTAATTTGCTAGCTTAACTGGTTAGTAATAAGGACACGGGAGGAGAAGAAAATGAAGCTAAAACACCGTACTGCCAATTATCATTTACCAGTAGAGAAATAATTGATTAATGCTTTCATGTGATTCATTAGATTCAACTTGAGTTTTTGTGAATGGGTTCGTCATCCATGGACAACTAACAGATTTACCCAGTACAACAGTACAAGTTCGTCAAACAATTGTCGCCCTGACTGCCCTGAAGATTTGAAGTGATTAGGGAATGGTATTGGGTAGCTTGGTACAGGATATCCATAGATACTGAGCCTGACGTAAGATTAGAGTATTTTATAATCGAGTTTAGAGTAAGTTCGAATAATAATTTATTACTTGTATCGAGTTGAGTAGAGTTCAAGTACCACCCTTGGTACTCGTTACTCGAATCCGGTTACTATTTACAAATATTTTATTATTATTTAAATAATTAAATTAAAATATATAATTTTTTACCAACTATTTAAGCAATTCTTTTTGTTAAAAACTAACAAATATATGAAAAGTATAGTTACTTTAATTATTAATGTAATGACTATTATATATTATAGAATGAAAAAATTATTAGATAATTAATTATGTTTAAATAATATGAATATCATAGTATAAAAGAATATAATTACTGTATAAATATACTTTTAAGATAAATATATTTTAATTTATATTTTTGTTAACATTACAAAATTATTAATTATAATATGTATACCATTGTTTACATAAACTTATAATATATCTTAAAGAGAGCTTTTGAGATTAAAATAGTTTGAAACCTAATTAATTTTTTTAATTTCATGAAATTGAGGACAAATCCATATAGTTAATTAAATTATTTCATGAAATTATGCATTATTAATTAACTTGTAATGGTCTTTTAATACATGATAGTTTATATATTGTGTTAATTTATAACAATAAATTACTATTATATATATACCAAAATATTTTAATATATATACTTTAAATATAAACATATTTACTTTCTATTTTGTGATAACATTACAAAAATTAATATTATAAATTATTAATTATAATATATATAGCTTTGTTTATATAAACTTATAATATATAAACTTAAAAAGAAGTTGTGAGAATTAGAATAGTTTTTGAAATCCCAGTTATTTTTTGTTTTAAATTTTATGTAATTAACGACAAACTTATATAGTTAATTAAATTAATTCATGAAACTATAATGATTAATTAACTTGTAGTGTCTTTTAATAATATGTCATTTATATATATTAAGTTCATTTATAAGGAATATAATTACTATTACATATATTAAAGTACTTTTAGAATATATATATATATATATACATATGTTCTTTAAATATAAATATATTTACTTTCTATTTTGTGTTAACATTACAAAAATTATAATTTATAAAATTTTTAATTACAATATATATACCTTTGTTTATATAAACTTATAATAAATAAATCTAAAGGGAAGTTGTGAGATTAGAATAGTTTTGAAACCTAATTATTTGTTTAATTTCATGTAATTAAAGACAAACTCATATAGTTAATTAAATTACCTAATGAAACTATAATTGTTAATTGACTTGTAATGTCTTTTAATATATATACTTTATATAAATTATGTTCATTTATGAGAAATATAATTACTATTATATATATTAAAACACTTTTATTACATATACACTTTAAATATAAATATATTTACTTTTTATTTTATGTTAGCATTACAAAAATTATAATTATAAAGTTATTAATTATGTTTGAGATATTTATTTTTTATTATTTAAATTCAAATTTTATTATTTTTATGTTTTTATTAATATAATTATTAGTAAATTATATGAAATATGTAAGAGAAATATTATTGTATATGAATACAGGGTACAGATTTGGGTTCAGGTAATTAGGTACCCATGAATAACATTTAATTTTTTTTTTTTACATAATTGGGTTTTCAAACAAGTTAAGGTAATTATAAGGTAGTGTGGATGTATTAGGATTAGGGTTAGAGTAGTAATTTTAAAAAATATTTGAATAGTTAATAGGGTTCGAATACTTTATTTCTTATAGGATTAGTGTTTGGGTACTTCACAATTAGAGGGCACTTTACCTGTTGACAACCTTGGAAGAGATTGAGTTCATTGTTCACCCAATCAAGAAAGAATTTCTAAGAGGGATATTTACGTACATAATTTTGCACTTTTCTTATGAATTTGAATGTACATATAGAAAGTATAATCAAAATAAAATAATTTTGAGTAGCAATGGATCCAAAATTTAACTTTAAGGAGCCAAGTACAATTAGATAATAATAAATTATTCTCATTTTTAGAAGACATTGTGAAAAATAACTCTCTTCATAAGCCTAATTCAAATATATTCCTCATTATAATTTTAGCTATTTTTATTCAATTTTTGACATGACTTAAGAACAATTCCCTTTAAACAATTTGAAACAAATTAAATGGTTCTAATTTTCTCTATCCCACCATACAGATAAAAATTTTAAAATTAAATCTTGATTTCTCTCTTTTTTTAAATATTATCTATCTCACCATTCAGCTCTCTCTCGCAATCCCGAAAAATAGAGATGACATCAAAGCATGTGTTTTGGATTCTTAGCTTTAATGATTTATATTGATAGAATCTCAAAATTGAGAAGTTAAAGTTGATTAAACATATTTGTAAATTAAAACACTGTATGACTTCGGTAACTTAAACTTGGCCTTTTCTTACAAATTATGTTTGCACTTTAATATTTGGCTCATTGGTTGGTGCTTGATCCTTATCTAAATAGTAGAGTTCGAATCCCGCTTCCCCCAATTAAAAAAAAAATTTAAACTTTACTTCGAGCAAATAAATCAATCAGTTATTAGGCATTGTGTTATTAATTTTTATACTTTTGTATTTATAATTAACAAAGACATTATCCAAAGTTATATAAAAATATAAGAATAAAAGAAAGAGATTTAAAAGATAACTTCTTGTTATTAGATATAATTAGTAGCCTAATATTTTGTGTTATATTTAATATTCTTTTGAAAAAAATTATACTGAATTTAAGTTACAAATTGTTTTGGGTTGCTTTTTGGCAGTTCCACAAACTTGATTCACTCCATAAGGCAGGGGTGAAATGAGAAAAGAAATAAATACATATAAGTATTCAGTCAAATCATTTCCATATGATAATATTTAGGTGCACATAAACATGGTCTTGGGAGCTTGAAAACGACTCTGCAATGGTGCTTTCTACAGGGAAACCTTTCCATATCATAAGACAATGGAGCATCCAAACAGACATAACAGAGAACCAATAGCTGCCCCACACATTCATCCTTTTTCTATGTAAATATCCTCTCGAATATTAGTTTTCTTTTTTCCCAGAAAAGGAAATCATGATGTTAACAGCAAACATCTTTCCATCAAGATAATGACGACACCATCAGCATTGATCTTTTATTTTCGTGATACATTAAATTTTTTAAAGATATATGATTACGAATATAATGATACAAGTCTAATTTTTTTTTCATTTTTATTAAAATATCAATAGATAAGAGATTTGTTATTTTTAAAATTTTTTTAGCTCCATTCCTATTATTTAATAAAGAATCTAAATTTTATAAATACTTGAATAAATTTTAAAATTATAACTCGAACACGTACTTAAATATCTCAAAAGTCACCCGTTAAATATCCAAACTCATTATATATTTGATTAAAATAGATGTAAAATTAATTTTTAAACTATTATTAATGTTAATTCATAAAAATAAATTAAAGTTTGAAATTATATTTAAAAATGTTATATATAAAAAATAAAATTTATGATGATAAAAATTAAAATTATTCGATTATAATTGTAATATAAAAAATAAGCCTAGCTGATTTCACGGAGGACTGAAATCATTAATTGTCCCCTACAATATTTTTTTCCTCAGAAACAAAGCTAAGAAAGCCATAATAATGGTCAATTTCCATTTCACAATCAAGTTGGAGGAAATTTGATTAAAGGCAAAGTTTGATGGCGATTGCGGCCCCTGCGATTAAATTTCAAACTTGGCTTTTTATGAAGGGTTGTGGCGTGCGTCGTCGACGTGCAGGCAATGGTCCCTCTTAGGATGTGCCATTTTTGCATACCCAAAAGAAATATTTAATATTTAAATATCTAAGATACAAATTTTTTGAATTATGTTATTTTTTCGGGATTTTTCATTATCTTGGATCGGTTTTTGTTCCACGTGTACGGAGATGGTTAAAGAGGTAGGACTTTTGGGGGTCAGTGGCTTGACTAGTGACACTGAAGACTAGTGATGATATTATAATAGTATTGAGAGAGGGCATCCAAAATGTTCAGGGAAAGGCTGGGACCATGGCTCTGGTTGCTGAAAGGGGTGGCATCATGTGGTGTCAAATCCTAAAACTGTATTAGCAAAGTCTACTAAGAATCATGTGTGAAACTTGTACATTTCTGCTATTTCTTTCCACATGACGTAGATGCACGGTGCTGTTTATCAATTGTTTGTTTATTTTGCAGGAAGATTGTATCTTTGATTTTTTTTTTATATCAAAATTTTTTTGATTAATTTTTTAATTAATTTAAATCATAATATTTTATGACTTTTCTTTTTAAAAAGAGCAAAATAATTTAATCTACAGCACAGTCATTTTTTTCCCTCGTTTCCTTCTTCTATTTTTCAATTTCATTCATTGTGATTTTTGCTAATTAAATACCATTGACAATCTTTATTCAATTCTTTCATTTAATATAAATAATTAAGATAAATTAAAGAGCAAATTCTCTACATAAAATAGGAAATAAAATTTTCACTGATTAAACTCTTACTTGTTATTATTTTTTTTCTTTTTCCTTTTCTTCTTTTGTTTTCCATTTTCATT